GAGGGGAGGGGAGGGGAGGAGGGGGAGGGTGGGACGTTGATTAGTTGGGCTGGGTCACAGGCACAAGCACAGACACACGCAGACAGACACACAGACAAACAAACAGCCAGCCAGCCAGTGACAAACAGACAGACTGAAAGACAAACAAACCGACCGACGGACACACACACACACACGCACATGGACTTCGCTGACACACCGAGTGATGAGCTGCTGGATCTCGAGGTACGATGCACTGCGCGACATAAACATGTTGTTGCCTGCACGACGGCTGCGCTGCCTACCTCTGAAAATTCGCAGGCCGATTGGCTGCGAATTTGTTTTCGACCTTGATTTCACAGGGGGCTCGCCTCCCAATTTTGATGCTGCAGCTGGCCCTGTTCTGCAGGTGCACACGACAGAATATGTCCCGCCTCCCGCCTCCCACTTGCATCCGCAGCTTCGTTGAATGTGGTAGGACGCACATGCCACACCCCCTGCACATTTTTTGCAGTAAAAAACAACAGAACAACAACCACTGCTTGACATTGGTTCGTACTTTCATGGACTAGGACCACCCACCCACCCACCCACCCACCCACCCACCCTCAAATAGAGTTGGCGATACGCGCAAATGTACATACATACGTACAGGGTGATGGTTTTTCGCGCGCATTTTATCAGACGTGAAACTGCCTCTATCGTGTGCTAGCCCATATTTTATCAGCCATATGAACGACTTTATGATGCGCAAGAGCTGTTCATTATAGACACAGCCGTTTGCTCTGTCGGACGCGTGAGTCGATCAAAGCGACTCGAAGATACCGAGAATTCAAAGTGCCATATGCATTTCCTTAGCCGCTGAAAATACATAATGTTCAATTGCATGTGCATGACCCTGTCTATTAACATACAAAGCGTAGCAGTTCGTACGACAATCAAGCCGCTGTTGAGTAGCCGACGATCCTCCGAGGCACGGCAGCACACGTAGCTGTATGCATTGTGCAGACGCTTGCAAATGCTTATCCAGCTCCAAGTCTAAACATGCCTATCCTGCTGCTGACGGGCGGCTGGCGGCCGCTGTGTCTGTTGCCACATAACGCTTGTCATGCACTTCTGGTGGACACCAAAATGCATAGTTATCTCCCGACAGCGAGCTCTAGCTATTCCTAATAAAGCACGCGGTGTTTCCTGATACTTTAAATCTAAACCTTTGCCTGTCCTGCTGCTGACGGGCGGCCCTAAACCCTAAACTCTGCTGGCGGCTGCTGTGTCTGTTGCCACAGAACACTCCTAGTCCGTAGTGGACACCTAAATGCATGCCTATCTCCCGACAGCGAGCTCCAGCTAGTCCTTATAAATTGAACGGCATTTCCTGATAGAGTGCGGGGTGTTTTCTGTTTAAAAGCGACGGATGGTGTATGATAAACCTTCCCATGTCTTGCAACTATGGCGCGTTGAAAACTCAAGAATTTTATGAAAAAGACAGCTCCCCACACGCACATGCATACATTGACATAGTTATCCGCCGACTCCGGTGGGGGCGGTGCCCAGGAGCTGTGTTCCAGCGGCTCGGTTTCCATGTCCGACAGTGCTCAAGCCCCACAGCACCCAGCGCGCCCAGCAGCCCCAAGGGCCGAGCAGTTTAAAGCTTAGTAATTGAACTCAAGCCGAGCGCCCACCACTCCACAGCTTGTTTGTAAATTATGTTAATAATGTATTTCAAGCCCGACTCATGCCCAACCCCTTTTTGCCCTTCGTACCCTTCCAACCCCCCCACCGCCCGCCGGCCCGGTGCCTGGCGGCCCGTGTAGTTTCGTGAGTTAATTCAAGCTCAATGCCCGGCCCTGCCCTCCCCAATTGCCCTTCCTTTAAGCTTGTTTGTGAAGTATTTACACAATTTAATTCAACACACACTGGCCTGCTCAGCGCCATTTTGCCCCCAAACCTCTCTGCCCTCTCTCTGCCCTGCCCTGCCCTGCCCTGTTCCCCGGACCGGCTGTGTTTTTCGCCTGCAAACCCCTCCTTGCCCTTCCAGACTCAACCCCGCCAAACTCCAAACCCCCCAGCGCCCACCGCCCGGCCTGCCGGGCCCTATTCTAGGGGGTGCGCCCACAAGCGGGCGGCGCAGGAAGCCTGGAGCAATGCCACGCAGCCCCCCTCCGCCAAACCCCGCTGATGCTGATGATGCGCGCCTTTTGGTGGGTTTCTCAAAAATTGGCAAAATATCGCCTCGCGCTACGGGCGCCCCGTGTGTTCATGATGCTCGCCGGCTGGCCTCCGGCGGCCCGGTGGAAAAACGAGGGTCCGATGATGCAGGGTCGACGGCACTGGCGGTCGCGCCTGTTGCTAAGCTAGCAAGGCTGTATCGGGCTAAGCCTGCAACTCACAAGCCGATTAACCAAATGCAGGCCGCCCAAACCCTGCTTGCCCCGCCGGACAGCGCGCCCGCTGTGCCGAACCCCATCGGCGGCAGCGGCGAAGCCCTTGCACTCGGTCCCCGAGCCCATGCGCGCTGCGAGTTCCAGGCTTAGCGTGGACAGCTTGCGAGCTTTTCGCCCAGGAAGGCATCCGGCGAGCATCATGCGCACGCGGCGCGCTCGCAACCGTCCAGCGCGAGGCGATGTTTTGCGAATTTTTGAATGGGTTGCGGAAGCCACCAAAGGGCGCGCATCATGAGC